GTTTTTTTTTCAATGTAACTTGATGAGTTAATTTTTACTTCATGAAATGAGGCAATTAATTCATAGAACGAGGAAAGTTTCAGTACGTGGAAATGATGTACACAGTTCGATAAATTCAAATCTGTAAAGAACATGAATTAACTCATCCGTGTTTTGATTTTGTCTTCAGGATAATAGATATTAGTTACTTCTCGACCACATTTTTTAATACTCAGTTTATTTTGTGCTGGTGAATTAAATCAACCGTGTGATATAACTTTCCACAGATTTTGAAACCTTGCATAAAGTTGATCAACAAATGACTTCAGAACTGAATGGGTATAATCACGCAGGTATAACAAGGGGCAGAGATAACACGCTTATTCATTTGCCAAGTGAGTGTAACAAATTAATATAATAAGAGGAAATAACAAAGTCTGTAATTTCCCCCAAAAAACTATCTGACTCAGTCTTAAACACTGAAGGCATGACCACAGAGAAAGTCACTGTGTTCAGTGATCCAAGGTCAGTTTCTAGACACCACAAACCACTTAACTACTGACCACCTGTTACAAGCCCACTGGTAATGTAAACAGTCCTTCACAGTAAGTGACCTACTAATGCAAAATTCCTCCACAAGTTCCCCACAATAAATGCCCCACAGCTACTGGGGGGGGGAGGAAATTGTGGGGAAAGGATTCAGTTTCCCCACAATTTTACCACAACTTATCCCGGACGAGATTTGAGATGACTCCTAAGCTACGTGATGTGCAATGGGAGCGGGCAGGGCCACCGCCAAACACTGTGACTATCAAGAGCAGCCGTCTGCACTACTGCGCAGCGAATAACCATGGTACCACTTTGTACTGTAACCACTGAATTGAGCCAGCGTAGGCAAACCGGACCAGCAGCACACTCTTGCTGTGGGTGGATTCGGACATGCACCCAACCGTTGCGCCGGGGCGGAGACGGGCTGGCGGAATACCTCAAAGGAAGCCCACAAGCAAGCAGTGCAGTGGCAGGGACAACCAACCAATGCTACGACTGCTCGTGAGACCCTGCAATTTGGCATCGCTGGACCAAACGGCAAGCCAAAGCGAGTCACCTGTACCATCCGTTTGGCAGACTTGCTTACACCCCAGACGGACAGTAGAGGGGAGTAGATGGGCCGGAGGTGGCTGGATGCTTGAAGATGGCCTTCTGGGAGCATTTAATGACACTCAGATTGCCCGATCAGCGTTACTGGACTGGACGGTAAGCCGAGCCATGCCAGCAGAAATGCTGCTACAAGTCACCCAATAGCGCTTCCCTGGGCAGTAGGGGGTGCATGGATGGGCCAAAGACACTTGAAGGCCTGTGGGCATGCAGCTGAATGACCGGAAACATAACCCCGTGCCAGGGGCCGGCCACCAGACTGCTGCGAGTTGCAAAGGTATTCAAAGAGCCAACTCACTTGCTCAACAGTACAGTACTGGAGCAAATGAGGGTATTGCACAGTCGTACCCCAGACCAACCGAAAGGGAGGGAAAACCTACGCACTATCCTATTTTCTAGGCTCGCAAGGACCAAAACCACCGCATCACTGTCCTTACTGACCAAGCGATCCCTGGGTCATGAAGGGGCGTACTGCTTGAAGAGGAGTGAAGAGCAAACTGTCAATATATCCCTCTATAACTTGAGTCTAATACACAGAGAGGGAAAAGCAACACCAAAAAAACAAAATAGGGAAGGCTGAAATTTCCAGCAAAATACAAAACAAAAAATAACAACAACACAACTCACAGAATAATGAGACAACCACTGTCAAAGATATTCTGATAAGATAACCAACAAATATCAACAAGAAATGCCACAACTGGGGCAAAGCTGAATAGAAGGTATATACAGATAAGCAATTGGAATAAGCAGAATAACAAGACAAATGTACTCAATTTTAATTTGAAATCAATGAAAATATATATAGAAAGCAAACAGCGCCACCAGGCGAGAACCTAGAAAAAGTACATGTAGGTCTTCATAAGGGTCAGTCTGCCAACCTGCACAAGACAGAGAAAAGAGTGGCAAAATATATATTTACATGTATATGGGAAAAAGGAACAGTCTTACAGTTCACAAGAATGAGAAAGAACAAACAAACAAGGTGATTGAGAAATGATACCAAATTACAAAGTAGCGAAGGAAAAACTCTTGAAAATTTCAGAGCCGGATCAAAACATATCCAATAGCAATAGCTTTAAAGAGAAAAAGGAAGAACATGGCGGCCGCCTCCACGGGAGTTGGATGAGTGAGGGCGCACTACTGGCGATCAAGAATTTAGCAAACAAAAGTAATGGACTAGGAAATAATGCATATGTATTGGTAATCTGCGTAGGTTGCAGGCAGTAGACTTAAAAAGATGTAAACTGATCAGAGTCGCCCACAAGCCCACAATTTACAAGGGTTAATAGTTGACCTAGCTGGCATTTCAATCATAGCAGAACCTTTGCCACAGGCAAAACAGCAGCAGTTGATGTACGTGTACATGCACAAGGAGTTGGAAGCTCTACTGTCCAAATTTTGTTCAGTTGCTACATTTGTGACCCGCTCTGTGAAAGAGGGTATTAAGGGACACAGTGCTATTTCACACTAAGGGCTTTTCTAGGTGGCAAGGGTGATATTTACCTCTTGGTTTATTGGCTTCTATTATATCAGTACTTTCACATTTCATACAAGAATCCTAACTGTTGCTATGGGTATCAAGAGACTTTCTTCTTGGCTGATTTATATTTCCACTTCCTGTGTTTAAAGGGCTTTATTTCTGAAAGCACTTCTGTTGATGTGTATCATATGATTATGCAAAAATCAATATATCTCCAGATTGTAAAATGCCACAGGGTTCAAACCTACACCAAGTTAAGCTTATAATGTAACAAATTCAAATGTGTATGTAACTCGTTTTGAAAAACTGTCCCATAATACCCATTTTGTGGAGCAGGTCACATATCACAGCATCTGTACAACTTTTTTCAATTATGCCAGACGGCAGGTCAAACATCTTAAAATCTAGTCCCTACAAGTGTCCATCATGTCCAGTATCAGCAGTTTGAATTCTTTCATTAGAGAACCAACCTGTGTTCCACTGGGTGGATTCATCTTTGGATCTAGAACCACCTCATAGTCCGACTGAACAGAATTCACTGAAACAACAATTGAAAGAAAAGTCAACACTTTGCAACATGTAACTACTCCGCCAACAATCAATGCATTATAACATTTCTCGCATCTTCAAAACTGTGAAACTTATGTTTGGATTTGATTTTCTTTTTCATTTACTCGATTTACATTGATTTACTCATGAATGTGTAAACTTGCATTAGCATAAAAATGACGGTTTAAGAACACCCTTAAAGTCTGTAAAGCAAAGGCTAAGAATGGATGAACAGGACACAAAAGGCTTGATTTTAAGTCTTGATTAAAACAAATCTCGAGTTTAGACTCTTACATACCTGCATTGGTGAGCTGTCTTCGCAACCTCCTGATCTCAACCATGGCTTTGTAGCGTAGTCCGTGAGCAGCGCAGAAGGATGGAGTACAACCAGCAAACTCGGTGGCACCGACCGCCCCTAGCATCACCATCAGATCCCCCAGGAGCTGAGATTCACCCTACAGCAACCAACAAACCAACCAAACAGTTCTTCCTCACGTTTTCTATCAATCTTTGAAGTTCCTGATTGTTCTAGCCATTGACTACTGACAGATTTTCCCAAACACAAGTATACACAAAAAAATCACCTGAATACTGAAAACATCCAGTAAAATTATGATTGAGACCAGAAATACATCACACAATACGTAGTGTCAAGGTTCTTTAAAGTGATAAAATTGATTACAATTGATTACTCACTACTCCAGCCCATTGGCGCTTGCTGTGAGCAACTCGAGCCCTGTGCCTTTTCTGTTCATCTTTCAGCTTGAAGAAAGAACAAAACACAAGCAATTTCAGTTTCATTTCCCCTACATTTCCCACTCTGGGAGGTGGAAAACTTTCACTAACAATTTGTACTCAACAAGTGAGCTAAACTTTAGTCAAAGCCGAAATGAATGAAAGACAAATGATGCCAATTTGTGTTTTCTTCAGAAATCGGGCCGAACTTACCTCCTCTGTGTCTTCACTTTGTGGATCCCCAACTTCAAAGATCTCCTAACAATGACAGCAAAATTAAATATTTACTAATGAGAAATATATGTGTACTGTGAACAAACTATTACAGGCATCTATGAGAGATGCACGCAGGTGGACGAACTAGTCATCACCTTTCAGGGGGACAGGCTATGGCGTATTTGGGGAGCGGATTTTGTTGAAGGAGTTGAAAGTGCAAAACTTCGGAAATGGTGCTGCAACCTTTTTTTCCAAGGGAGAGTGGAGAGTTGATTCTTTTACAGATAAAAAAAAAATTGGTTGATCGTTTTATGGCAAAAATCTCCATTTCCCGCCCCTCCTTGACTCAAAACCCGGAGGACGAAAGTTAGATTTCCTAGGTTACATGTATGAATGAATGATATCGTTAGAGATCTCGATCACACTGCGCTACCGCATGACCAACTTATTATTGGAAAACACTGCGCTACCGCATGACCAACTTATTATTGGAAAAAAATTTGAGTCAGTAAAGGGCATAGCCCCGTGTGCATTATAATTTAGCCAATACTGGATTGGCAAAAGCAGGTTACCAGCTACAATTTCACACAATGTGTCGTGTAGAACACTGGCCCCTTGCTGGTTTCAGCTCAGGGGGTAAATTTCCAGAACGCACCCTGACTGTGAGTGCCGAGACCAAGGCGATGATGTAAGGCAGACAGCCCTCCCGTTGACCAATGGCGATCATTCTGGCGTAGCAAGGGGACACTGGGAAACAAGCCATCATCTTACCCATTGGGGTGATTCTTGTGCTGAAAGATTCTGAAAGACAAAAACAAAAGAATAAAATTACTGGTTGTCGTGGTGGGCTAAACCTGAAGTAATGTCCTGTGTTGAGACAAAATCTGTCCCCGCACATCCACTGCAGCCATTGCGTTTCTGAACAAATAGGGCCTTTATTTACTGGCAGTCACACTGAAGTGTTAAGTAGGGGAAAACTGCAAAAAAAGGACTGGTTGCTAAGGCTTGAAAAAATGCAACCAACATGGTCAAACTGCAATTCAACATTTCTGCAAAGGCTTTTAATACACATGACTAAACCTAACAAAATGAGACACAAGCCATCAGGGCCACTTTTGAGGTGAGGTCCGTTAAAAAAATCTTGCTTGATATAACCTCAATATTTTCTTTGCCCACAATGTCCTCTTTCAACACAATATCAAATTGAGTGAATCACCAAAACAAACAGCTCGGTTTGCTCTCTTCAATCCAAAATAAAACTAAATCTCTGAATGGTGGCCGTAAGGCTCATTTCGTTAGATCCAGCCACACACTGCATACTCTTTGCTTTTTAATAAACAAAGATCTTCTACATGTTGGCTTCAGTATTCGGAACAGAATTCAAATTTCAAGAAAGTTCCAACTGGTTTTCAACAGGGTTTTGTAATTCACCCCAACCTCAAGGTGGCATCAAATTCTGTTCAAACTGAAAAAAAAAAGCAAAGCAGGTTTGGTACGGAACTGGAGCTTAACCACTCCCTGCCGGGCGACCCGTTTTCGAGTACATAGGCTTTATATGCAGAGCCGGGGAGCCCGGAACTGTGACAAAAAAGTGGGGCCTTATAACAAAAGACCATGCTCAGCACAAAAGACTGAGCTGCTGGGCATTACCAACATTTTTTCACTCTCAATAGCGGAGAAAATCCAGGCTTGTTTTGAAACAGTATACCACGGTTTGAGGCATTTAGAGCGAGCGGATTGCCACCGGGGACAAAAGCTCTCCACCACCGTAGTGATGAGCCACACAGCACCGCTGCACGCTAATCTGGCCCCTATTGAAAAGAGGTCAGCAGTGCACTGCGCTGGTTTCGGGAATAAAAGATTCTTACGTAACACCGCACAATCTGGGCTCTTTTTCCAAGGCTGCAGGCCTGGCTGAAATATTCAGGAGTCAATGAATTTTACCTGTCTGCTTTAGAATAGCCCCAAAGAGTCCTTCATTTTGGTATAAACGGCCATTAAATGAAATGATGAATTTTTGAAGAACTTTGAAAACGGAAAACCTTGAAAAGGACCCGGCATCTTGTCTTGCTCGAGAAAAATCCACTCGACAGCAAGTGGTTAAAAGATCTTGCCTTCTTTGGACGAGCTGAAGCCTGTCCTTTTTGGAGGTACTTCCAAAGCACCGAGAGAGATCAGGAGCCTCTCCGCAGCCTACAAATGAAAAAAAAAAGACACAAATTTAAAATTCAATGACATGAAGCCACATAATTTCTTTGACAAAGGAATAGCCAATCAACTGACGACCTCAAACTGTTCTTTCACTGATAGTACTTAAACAATGACAGTGTCGAGTCTGACAAAAATATAAAAAAATATACAAAACGAGCACAAAGAATTTTGAAAGAGATGTTTTGCTATCTACCTTGAGTGCATCTGGTTCTGGTGGTGTTGGGAATGGAAAGTTCACCACTTTGTCAATTCCCATATCCTGTGGAAACAGAAAAATGGTACTCACAGTTGGACCAGGTAAGTACATGTACATCAGTCTTGCAACCCTTCAATAACGTTAAGCTTCAAAACTGGGAAGTTCCCATGGAGGTACAGTACAGCATGCTGCTAATGAGTTATGCCAGCGGCTTTTGAGTCTGTGTAGCTTCATCCAAGTCAAAGGAGATTATACATGTACATAAATAGATACACACTTTGGTTCACACATGAAGGACTACCAATTTTCACCTGAATGAGTACAAACCCACAATGCACTGCATGAGAGGCTTGGCCTTAAATGTACACGCTTAGCAAAAAATGGTGCAAAATGTTCCCTGAAAACAGTGCTATAATGCAATTTCGAAACGAGGATGTTTTCAATATGAAGAAGAAAATCTTCTTGGGTCAAAATTGACCCACCTTCATCTGCAGCGTCAGGTCATCCACAGGCCTCCTGGTGATTTCCGCAGGATCAAACGTCTCAAAGTCACTGGCAAACACGGCAGAAGAGTAGAGTCTATGAGAAAAACATCAAGAAAGAACGTGCAGGGATTAAAGAAAGCTGTTGGTGAACTTTACACTTGTAGAAATCTATCATGACAACAATGTCTTGAAACAATAACCAATCATGCTGTTCTTTGTAATCTTGTGGTACTGACATCTTCGGGTACTGAAGCTGACATCAAACATTCCAGAATGTTCCGTGTCTGTCACTATGACGCCCAGAATGAGGATCTGCCCTCAGCTGGCATGGAGGAACCAATGATCCAGATGAGTTGGCATGCTAAATTTACGATACCTTTTGCCCTGCACTTCAACTTTGGAAGGATATCCATACCAAGAAGTTGAATGGGAATGGATGTAATATGCAGCATATTCACACCTAGTCAGGACGACATCTGCTTTTTGAACAACTTAGAGATGACAGTTTTTAAGAAGACAGATTTTTCTGTAAACAACGTTTTACACAAGAACAATCTCGACCAAACTGAAGTCATTTTTGTTCTTTTATTTGATACTAAGTTCTAATCTTTGCAAGAAAGCATGAACAAATATCCACAATAAATATCCATTTCCATAGTAAGTCTTTACACTTTTCCGCATCAATCAAATTATCACTGACTTTAATACTAACCAATGTAGACTACACACAACTCTTTATGAACTCACATTTACTTGTCTTAAGAGATACACATGAACGCATGCAGCTCAGCCAAAAATTATTCATGTCCATTCCAAATTCAGGTATTAAACAATCATGTAGAGTTTACTGCCAAAAGCTTAGATCTTTGCCCAGATGAGCTTTTGCAGAGGAACTACTAGGTTTTTGTGTGCCTGGGTTGACCATCATGTAGTTCAAATGTTTTAACAAAATAGCAGTCTGCCTCGTTTTTCAGAGGGTATGAATATTTTTGGGCTTCACTTTGTGTAATTTTACCAAAAATTCAAAGCTAACAATAAGCCTTTTGCAAATTAACTTTGACCCAAATCTGGTACACTGAGTTCTTTAAATTCATGTGAACATAACAACTTGAATTCTCCTCAAAACCACTGTTGCTGTGTACCTCGTGATTCGGGGCAAGCTTTTGCTTTAGTTCCATAAGAGACGCACTGCAACAATACACTGTTCTCAATGGATAAGAAGGGCACAAAGGAACCAGTCCATTCCAGAGATGGTGGTCGCCATGCGAAAGCTTACCCAGAATCACGAGGTACATGTACATGTATGGCAACAGTGTCTTTAGTCTGGGGAATTCAAATCATAATGTTTATGTGCAGTAAGATATCTCAGTGCACCAGATTTTATTCAAATTGAACTAAAAAATGGCTTATGGCTTGTGTAAATGCGCACTTTGCCAAATTTTTCAAGAGAAAGAGCTATACAATGTGGTGTGAGAGCATGCAATAGCAAGCTGGACGGTAGTTGCAGAGTAATACAGTCTGATAAAACAATCACATCCTTGAATCTTTATCTACATGTGACATCAGCAGCCAGCTTTCTCAAAAATTACAAATGACCACAATGCCTGAAAAAGAAAAGTCTTTTTGTGCTTTCCTCAAATAATTAACCTCACCTAAATGTTCAATTCATTTTCTTTTCTTCAGAAATCATGACTGCTAACTTCACTTCCCTTTAACGACGAGATGTTGCACAACATTGTATACATCTTAAAGTACAGTACATGTAATCTATAATAAGTATTTCTGATAATATTGATTAATTACTATGCATAACATGCTTGAAACATGCGAACACAAGGTATGTATATCAGTATACACTAAAAAAACTACATGAGAGTGCCAACCTCCAAATTACTTATATTTAGTGGAATTTCACTGTCATATGACAGTGAAAACTCTACCAAATATAAGTAATTTTTCAATTACGTACATGTAAATGCATAAAAACACTTAGAGCTTGGCTACTCAAACAGGTACATGTACATGTAAATGCATTCTTACTGTCATCCAAGGCAAGCAAGCTAAATGAAAGCCTCGTGCAAACAACAAAGCCACATTGCATCACACGGCACAAAGATTACTTCCTTTCATTTGTGCTTGGCTCTAAACACCCCCCCATAAAAATCAAGCCCTCTGTTTCGTAGCCACTCACTCCGAGTGAGCTGGACCATGCAAAAGCTGATTAATTGTTCCAAATATTAATTGCATTCCACTTTCAACTGAAAAGAGACAAACCAAGGTCACGCTAGCTTGCTGGCATGCAATCGATTAGAATGCCTCACAGCATTCCGCAGCAGATTTCCCAGATTGAGCAGAGGGATGAAGACAGGCATCAAATATACGGCAGCTCCACTACTCTGTCCTCTAGTACTATTCAATGTTGTTAAAATATCAGTCTTGCACTATAAATGCCAACTGTTAAAAAGCTTTCCATTAAGTTATTCAGATTGTCACATTTAAACCTGATCTAAAAGTCTGAGATTGGGGTCATTCCACAAAGTTGAGGAACATTTAATACGATTTGGACATTTCGGGGGACTTGTTTATCAACCTGGAGGGACACCATATTATTTTAAGTGTGAATGAAACTCTAATTTTGGGCACCAGTTTTTTTTCCCAAATGACAAGTTTAGAGAACACATCTCATCATGCCTAGCTCAACTTTTGGAAACTAATAATCAGAGGTTTGACAGCCATCCCATGAAATTCTTCAAAGTACACAACATTTCAAAAAGTGTGACATTAACCCTAA